AGAACATTGTCAACAGGATGATTAACTAACAAAGCATGTTGATAATTATGGGGCAACATCCTAATATCGATAGGAAAAATGTGCAATCGGGTAATGGTCTTAGAAAATAACGTGGCAACCCATGAAATCTCATGTAATTGAGGAAATACTAACGCAAATTCAATATGAAAGTCATATAACCTAGTAGGCATGAGACGTAGGATATCTGAAATGCCCATCTTTGATAGTATTGCTTTAGGTAACTTCTCAATTATGTCAAAATTACATGTATCGATTACAGATGCAGTCACGATAGAGGACACAATACACTGTTCACAACTCTCGACCCCTGTGACAATGGAAGAAAGAACTGCACTATAATCATTTAAACAAATTCTTACATATTTTATAGCTCATGACAAGTAAGGTTTGATCATGCCAGCACACTTCTCAAAAAGTCTTTTCACCACACCAAATTTAATAGGAGAACCCTCCCCGTGTTTATTTTGAACACTATCCAAAAGGACAATCAAATCTAGAGGAATATTATCACTTTCTTCCAATGTAAAGGTCATGATAGTCTCTATGAATGTGAAGACATTCTCTCAATGATTTCCGTTAAAGCTACGAGAGGAAGCCGCAGGGAAGAAAGAGATGTGAAGGAAAAAGAGAAATCGTAACAGCTGTCAATCTTAATTTTCATCAAATCATTAATTGTCTAAATTATAATGTCTAACCATATAAATAGTAAAAACCTAGCTAAGTGATGGGTTTGAACCAACCCACTACAAGCTCAATAACAACAACAATAAAAATAGAAAACATAAACGATAAAGCCTAACAACAATAAAAAATAAGTATCAATGATGTCCGCATCATATATATTATAAATTTGATCCTTTCTTTTACTTGTAAACTAAAAAAGGGTCCCAATTCCCAACACACGTTTTTACTAATGTACAAAACTATTTGTTATATATTAGCATTACATAGAAATTTACTTCTTTATCAAAACCGTTTTAATTGTATCCAAATTTCTTTATAAAAACTTGCTGCGACCAGCTCTTTTTTATCTTTTCTTTTGAATGGTCTCTTCTATATCTTTTTGGTCACTTGAAGAGACTAGTGTAGACATGGAACAAAGAACAATTGAGTCTTCCATTTTTTTCTATATTGAAGCTTAGAGGTCAAGAGAGAGAACAATTTGTTAATCTTCAAACGAGTCCAAGTTCATCGCCATGTACTGTGATGTAACCTAATTAATTTTATTTTTTTAAAATAAATATGATGCGAGGGGTTAGAGTAGCTAATATAAAAATTATTGTAGAAGATCATATGATCTTCTAACGGAGGAAGATACAAGTGTTTGGGCATTTATAAATAGGTTTTACAGATTAGCCGAAAGGTTATTGTAAACATAGTAAAATAAAGAGTAAAAAATTATTAGCCAGACCTTTTCTGCATGGAAATGTCTTCCTCATTCTAGTAATTCATCATCATTACCAAGAAAAAAAATTGTTTCACTATAATCAACCCAAAAATCATAGTAATAATCCTCTCTAAAAAATCTAGTTTGCTGCTTCTTAAAGTTACATTACTAGTTTAAATTAATTACTCAGAAAAGTGATATTTTCCTACTTTGTAAACATAACCTCTAAATGTCGTTTCGAAGTTCGCACAATGAACATCATTTGACATATTTCAGCCAGCTCGAATTCCTTCATTGCCCATACCCTCCAATCAACCCCAAAGCCATGAGATGCAACAACGAGAGCAAGAACCTGAAAGATTAAAGCTTTCTAGTTGCTCTTTATAAGGTGGCAACTTCACCTGTTGAAATGTTTCTGTTCGAATATCACATGAACAGATAAACTCATTCTCAACCCCATACTCGATGATGAACCAAATACTTGATACGTCTATCAACATCTGAGGGGATATGTGACTGTGTGTAACAGGTGAACTTCTCCATCAATGAGCATTTTTCAAGACCTTGCTTTCAGGCTAAATACTTTCAACTTGATATTATTTCATGTCAAGAGTACTAAAAGCTTGCAAAAATTCTTAGCAACTTATAATTGTTATTTATATTATTATACCAAAATTCGATACTAAACTAAAGTTTATCACTAGAATCATATAAAATATTGAAACTAGTGCTCTTAATGCATTTAAATTTCTAAGAATTGGATTCCACAAATATAATACTCGATCCTAATATTCAAGCTTACCATTAGTAAAGTAAATAATGTCATTACACGAACCAATTGGTTCAGATAAGAAGAAATCACTAGGTGCACGCTACTCCACTTGATATTCCACTTTGAAGTCAACCATAATGTCACAAATACTTTGCAACCCATGAAATGATTTGGGCCACTTGACATGTGGAGAACATAATTTTTGATATCATCATCCATGTTTCTTGTCATACATCAATTGAGATGTGTAGCAATAAAAACAGGAGATTTAATGAAATTGTAACAAAATTTGTTTACAGTAGTATAACGCCCCCACAGATTTTGGGGGCAGCCATGAAACAACTTCATATATAGGGATGACAATAGGGCGAGAATGGGACGGGTTGACCGTTCCCATCCCATCGGATATTTTTGATACCTTACCCTATTCTCATACCTCTTTATTTTTTCTTTTTATTTTTTATTTATTTTTTTTTTTTGTTTTATTTTTTTAATGTCTTTACTTAGTAAATAACTAAATATTATTATTTTTTTACCAATTTGTTAGAAACAACTCATGTTCTCTTTAAAAATATGATAAATCTATTATTTTTATTTGATAAAAAATTTAAATTTAAAATTAACTTTAAATGAGACGAG